TACAGGTCAAACAGTTTGAGTCGTAATAGACACATTATTTCTTAACTGAAATAGCTCGCACAAAATGGAACCGACACGGTATGTGAAGGTCCCTCACGCAGTTTTAGGTCGACTATAACACCACATTTGACTATTGGCAGGATAATTCAGCGTATCCAAGGTCACCCTTTCTCCCAACAATGACACGCGTTGCACATTCCTGGGGGAAAACAGACATTTTGCCTGAGGGCTCAACATTCATAACTCTGACAATTAGGATGGTTATCACCTCTGATTTGTTCAATCGCAGTTCTTAAACCAAATGAATAAATAATGCTAAGTATAAATTAAGTAATTATTAATTACCACATATTACAGAACCCAACCTAGCTAACCGTGGTCTGGAAACAAATCGTATAAGGATTCAAAAGTGGAATATGCTAAAAATATCATGCTCCTTCAAATCTCAATTCAACATCGTGGCCCAAAAATTGATTATACTACTCTCGATTAAATCTTATCGTAACTGAAAATACATAGAAACTAGTGGCTTGTAGGGGCACTGGCCCCTATAATATTCTAGTAATTATTTTGTACAAATTATTAGTCTCATGGGTTACCCTAACTTGAATAATTGTTTAACATTTTTATATATTATAGCCTAATATGTATGATAGTTATTACATAGCTGCATTAAGCATTTTGATGTCTGCTCTGTTTAAAATAAAAAATTCCAAAGGACTGTTTATGCGGTGTGTTTATAATTTAAACTTTCTAATCGTAATACAACTAAAGAACATTTTCAATATTAATCTTTATGACTATTAATTAAATACATATAAATTTCGTTGAATATAGACAAATTCACTTCGAAAAAACACATAGAGATAATGTCATCCTCCAAATTGTAAAATGCAAAAACTCTCTGTTTTACAGTATCCATATTAAAGTAGATTCCTTGGTCTTTATTTGGTAGTATTTTAACATCATCTGGCCGCTTTACCCGGCTAAAAGCAACATAAAGCTGGCCACTGGGTAAACATTGGTTTTTTTTCCAAATAAATGCCAACTTTTGTGAAGGTTTGGCCTTGCGCTTTATATAGAATAGCGAGAGCTAATCACAATGGGAATTGAATCCTTGTAAACTTAAACGGCATATATTAGCATCTGTAGATATTAGTTTTATTTTGGCATCAAAAATATGTTCCCTTTGCCTACTCCAGTAATTCCTTCTAACTTTTTTCAGACATACTTAACACAACCAATCGTACTCCATTAACTAACTGATTCAGATCCTTAAAATTGTAAAAAAGTCTATTTCAGCTTTATAATACAGTAGTATACATATTACAGTACATATTACAAATTACCATATGCTTTAAATAAAGTTAAACCACATGTTTTAAAGTAAACAAAAGCAGACATGACCTTGGATTCCCATGCTATTTAAATGAGAATTAATTTATTCCGTAATAACCTTTTGGTGCATAATTAAGGAAAATGGCTAATTTTCCCCAAAATTTCATGCCCAGACCTTTAAAATGAGACCTCTCCCAGCTTTCTACGGCCTCCCGTTCACTCACAATTTCATTGTAAAATTTTGGGCTTACAGAATTAGATATATAGATTTACATAGATAGGCTGAATTATATACCAAATTTAAGTTCAAATGTAGTACTGAGTTAGCAAAATGAATATGCAAATGCTTATTAAATGACATACATTTTATAGTGTCATCCAGAAAAATTAGGAGTTTAACATAAAATTAAGATCTTAGTAATGTAGCTACGAACCAGATGTAATCACATTTCCCATTAGTCAAATTACTGAAAAAATTCCACCTTTTTAATGTCGTTATTTAAACACTACAACAGTTCCGACATAACACCAAAGCTATTATATTCTCTTGATATTCTGACATTCCAGCGAGATCTTGTAAAAGTTGAATACTTTGTCAGAACAAATTTCATGAGGAGTGATTTGTCGTATTGGCGACCGTCCCTTACAATCTGTCAACTTACACAACTTCTTGATTAACTTCTTTTGACGAACGAACTGTTTCTTAGACGTATTTTTACGGTAGTAACAAATCATTACAGTAGTATAATTATGATTAATTGCAGCTCTATTATCTAAGAATGTATATGATATTTACTTTCATTCTCTATTTCATTATTTTCATTATTTAAGAGATTTTCGAACTACTGTAATTAAGTTTTATCAGTGTATAGCACGAATACTAGAAAAATACAGTGTATAGTGTAAAATATGAATGCAATAAAGGCCTACCTGTACAACAGAATAAAGAAATTACATAAAAAATATAATGTAAAAATGGTTTTAAAAAATCTTGAATCTTGAAGAGATAAGAAAGAGTCCCTCTCTTATGCTGTCCTTAAACTGGGGATTAAAAATCGATGGTAAATAAATTAGAATCTTAAATCACCATATATTTAGGGTTAGAACACAGTTTTGCTTACTGTAAATTATACACTGTGAATGTCATATAATTCACATTTATGTGATATACCTGAACAAAACATTCATAAACCTAGCTCCGATTCTCAACCTAAATCAAAAACTTTCAACCATCAACTTTTTGTTTTTCTATTAATAGCCTGTCAAAATTTCGTGCGAAACCAACTGAACAATTGATCTGAGCCCATTAGTAGTAGAATATAAATACAAAATTATGAATCTGCATCACGAGAGAGTAATATCAGTTTCGAAAGATTGTAAGGATTTACCTGTAACAAAGGGTCATAGGTGTTAGTACAAGCTAATGAAGAAGTATATTCCATTTCCTTATGGGAGATGGTAACCACACCCAAAACATGTGATGAACCCATCATGAACCTACAACAGTTATTACAAAATTACAGTGCTTAGAGAAATGAGGGTACAATTTCGTTATAGGTTTGTTTGACGCATATGTAAACATTTGTTTTATGCTCCATACATACAGTTGCAAACTTACCAAAGCCATTTCCATTCTCAACTAGAATCTATTATTACGGTACCTAAATTAAGAGTTTTAACCATTGTTAATTGAGGTTAGCGCCTTAAATTAATTGTTTGGTGAAATTAATATTAGATCGTACATTTTTCAATAGTTTAACTCTCGATGTATTTACGTAGTGATATTAATTCCATTCTAAATGTTCCTTGATACAATTACTAGTATTAATTCAACTACATTAGTAATATATTGCATATTTTTGATGGCTCAAAGGAAGTATGGGTTTTTAAAATAATTAATTTAAAATAGTTTTATGTCGAATCTAACTAGAAGCACTGAACATGCTGTGGGAAGGAGATTTTTGTACATGTCAAACCACTAGAATGGGATTTCTGTCCATGTTCGAATCCAAACAAGAGCCTCAATCATCCCCTTAATCCGACGCCGTGTGGTTTTGGAATGTCGCAAACGTATTTCTATGTCTCCAGACTCCATTGCATATAAACCCCTGATAACATAAGTAAACTTATACTGTATAAGCATAGTCTGTCATTGGTCTGGGTTTATATCTATGAGTCGTACACCAAAAAGAGCGTAGCTCGCCAAAATATAAAATCTGATTTTTGAAGGTCCTTCAAAATAAGACACAACCCTTCCTTTACCCCTTCACGAGCCTGTACGTGAAAACGTAGTAACATTTGAGGCAAGAAGCTGTAATCCTGAACACAAAATATGCACTGATTGACAACAAAGTAGGCCTATGTATGAAAAAGGTGTTTTTAGGTTATCAAGGTTTGCTTGTGTTGCAAGATTGTTTTGCAAATCAAGGATAATTTCTTCAGAAATTAACTGAGAAGCAGATTTTTTTCTCCATGAAATTTCTTGAACGTACAAAATGTATTCAAACAGTGACTAAGTAATGTAGAAGTTGTTTGTTGTTCGAACGAAATCAGTATATTGAACCCCTTCAGTGAATATTTCATAGTTACCCACCAGCACCCCTGGTTCATCCTGGTCCAATATTTTTTTAGTTAATACAAAAAATCTATTTTAATAAACACTTGTAGATGTAGAACTCTGTACACACCTATATAACACACATATAACTGAATGATGTTCTTTGAGTTTGACCATTAGAATCACAGACAATTTAATACTAGAATGTTCAAACCGCGACGGAATGTTACACCCCAAAGTCCTTCATACGGCATAACTAGCTTGACAACTGCACGAAATGTCCCTTATTATTTTATCTTACAAACTATCCCCCACTTCATTTTCCCACTCCGGGATATATCCCTGCAACTGTAACATTAGCTGGACCGTGACAATTGTCACCACTCCTGGCCTCGACAGTTGTGCAACCTCCGCCTCCGCCGCGTCCACACCATGGTCAGACCCGTGGACACCCGAGTCACCACCACCACGTCCAGGGGGTCGCCTCCCCGAGGGTCTTCGCCCCTACATGTTCATGTCACTGCTTCTCTGCCACACCATCAACATTTACTCTGGTAAGTTCTGCATCGGTCTGGGGTTTTTAAATTTATTTGACGTTTTTTAGTGTACACTATTAGCTTTTTGTTTGAATTAATATATATTAGTTTACTTATTTAGGAAAACTCATTTTTTCATAGAATGTTTTAAGCGTTTAATTGAAGACTGTAATGCACAATAACAGCATGGAGTACCTAAACGTTTCTACAACTTTGGAGTGGGATAGGTGTTTAACCAACATGTAACAATCATCGACTAATAACAAAAAATTAAATAAGAAAACCCTAGTTGTTGAGTCATGAATTTGATTTATCTAATTTAATCGAATTCAGGTTAGACAATGACGTTATTTAGTTGTGGTTTAGTTAAATGTGTAACAGATAACAAAAGCTAGCACTATAAAAATGTGATTATGATGTACTGAAGTCAAGTTGTACTTGCAGTAAAGATGCTCAATAAAAGAATACACTGTGAATCAACACAATTAGTTACCTTTTGACATAGAGAATTTTAAAAACACTCAACCAGAAAACAACATGCTAACTATAAAACTATACTAAACTAAAATGCCCAATTGTCAAGAACAAATATTTGCGCAGATCTGGAGCAATAGCGCAGAACAAAAATTAAATAAGGCACTTAATTGCACCTTTGGCTAGCAACCAATAAGTTGGTCGTTGGTTTTTGAGTATTTAATTTAAATTAATTCCCCTATTTATTTTGGAAATCATGTATAAAGATTCGTATACTGTTTTTAAATTGATCAAGTACTGTATGGGCTGTTCTTAAAAAGTACGTTTTTTAATTTAGGTTGAATCCAGTATAAAATGTATATCTAAATACAATATTTTGGCTAACACTTCTTAAGTTATAGCATTATAACTACTTCATTATAGTGAAACTATACTTACTACTATTTCTGCGATTTTTTGTCTACGGCCAGAAATCTCCATTAACCAAGAACTTAAATTACAATGTAGAAATTGGTAAACTATACCTACAGTATTGTGAAGAAGCAGAAAACAACAAAAAACCAATTATGGTAATATTTTGATCTTATAACAATTAAATTGCTCAACTAGTTGATACTCGTAAGTTGGTCATGTAAATATGCCAATTAAACTTACAAGTTTGCTAAATATTCTACCGTACCTAATCCCAAACAGTAGAAATCACATTAATGATAATAGCTCACATCAATATACATTCTGTAAAACTGGATTGAATTAACGTAGATTAAAAAGGATTTCTTCAAATCTTTGCTGCCAAATCTTAATTACATCAATCAGCAAGATTAGCATATCAATTTGCGAAATTGGTTCTTTAAGGACTTACCACAAAAGGATTTTACAGACAACAGTATTGACACTTATCCATCAATAATAATGGTTATTTGTTTAGAGTTCTCGTAGTATCAACTCGGTATCAACTGTTAAAATATATTTCCTTTTCCCTTCTTGATGCGACAACTGCGCTAAATGTCTTCTACTTCGCTGAATCACAACATAGGTTGACTAACAGTTTTCAAACACGCTATTTTCTTACCGCTGTCTTAAACAACATTATTTCGAAACAACTACTGGTAATTGTATCCAATATTTCAAAACTGTTGATTGTCCTTGGACTTTTGATTGCAGCTATATATTCTACTGTTCATTATACAATATACATACACCCTATTAAAAATCTCCAAATTTTCTGCATTTACCTTTGAGGTGGTTAAAAAATTAAAATACCCAACCATATATTTATAAGTAATTGAACATTTCCTTAAATTGGCTTTCCTATGATATGAGTATGACAATCGATGTTTTCCAAATACAGTGTGTATGTTGTAGGGCCTGTAGAACTGGTCAACAGATATCAGTAAGCACATGCTAACAGACAAAGTACGTATCAATAAACCAATTAATCCCAGAGGTATTAAATATGCATTGATAGAATAAACAGAGATCTCTAGACATTTAGCTCAGTAGCTTAGTAGTTTTATCGTTCGTCACATTAATCAGGGAGTTCCGGTCCTAAATGAACTTTTTGGTTATTTTTACATTTCATAGGTCAGAGAAACCGAATCAAACCTTATCTCAATTTCTGTCTGTCTGTCTGTCTGTCTGTCTGTCTGTCTATCTGTCATTCTCTTGGTAACGCTAAAATACGCACTTTATTACAACTACTCCTCAATAACTATAGCACTGTCCCGCCTGAAACTTATTTTCCAAATACTATACATATATGAGATGGTTTTAGACGTATTTCATCGAATATGAGACAGTTAGATATTTAACAGTAAACCCTTGAAAATCAAGTTTTTGTCGATTTTTGACGTGGAATTTCTGGAAGCCCATGTTAACCTTATGAGAAATGAAATTATTGAATCTTAACAGCTGTTTCAATTAAACAAGTTGGTTCTGTTCTGTGATGTTCAATAGCATTAAAGTTACAAGGATTACCAACAGGGTGCAGCACTAGCACTATTATTTCTTTTACATTTATGACAACAGCTAATTTGCAACCTGGAGGCGAGTGAGCGTAGCGAACGAGCTAACCTGAAGGCAAGTGAGCGTAGCGAACGAGCTAACCTGAAGGAAAGTGAGCGCAGCGAACGAGCTCCAACATACAGGTGAGTGAGCGTAGCGAACGAACTTCAACCAGGACGTGATTGAGCCATGCAAACGAGATCAGATAGTAAAAATAAAAGTAAGCCTACCGTTATAGGATCGACCGGCAGACACAGAGGTAATTTAACCTTTTATTGATTGTCATACCGATCCGGAACAACAAAAAACAACATAAAATGAAGCTATGTATAATAGTTTGGCCAGCATATCTTAAAATATGCAAACCAACTGCTGTTCTTTATATAAGAAGGTTTCAACTGAATATTATAAGATCCCCGTGCGTAGAACGGGTACACAGCTAGTATTGACCTAAAAACACCCACCCTGGAGTATAGTATTATCTATGTAATTTAATCATGTAAGAATAGACCTAATAGACACTGACTATACGAAACCAATTAAAACAAACATAAATTAGTCTACTGTTTTTAACACAATTGCACGATTACGATTAGATATCACTACGTTGAGTATACACGATGTTTATGTATATAATAACCAGTTCTTCTTAGGAAAACCATCTTTAAACAGTTATTCTACCACAGTAAAATCAACCTTTTAAGGAACAGTAGTTTTTCCACTACACTGACTACAGTACTTCGCAACTAGAAGGGATGAGATAAGAAGTAAAATCAGCAGGAAGCACAGTCTATTGACGGTGGAAAGCTATTGACAAACAACTGTACAATTGACCGCTGTCTCCAAACAGCTGATTGTAACACATCTGGCTTATCAGCAGCTGACTCAGCAGATAATCTCGGCTGATCTTGCTGAATTCCAAATTTATTGTACTGATGGTAATAAAAAGGGGGTTCGGGTCTTTGTAGTCTGTATTTACACAACTATGCAGCTAAGTTCTAATTTATTTTTTCTGAGAAATTTAGTGGGGAATAGTAGTTTACGCAACGATTGCGTTAAGTTAATCTTTACGACACGAGTAGAAAATTTAAGGCACGAGCCTTAAAGACTATTAACGCGAGTTGCGTACACTACTTTACCTACGACCGTTTTTTAATTACTAAAAATCTGGTTTTTTATTACTAACAATCACTACTCATAACTTCCTAGAGAGGTTATGTTTTCGTTTATTGTCATTGTCAATGAAAGTGATGCAACGACTTATTGTATAATCAGCTGATTTCATGTAATTACGTGTTTGTAAAACTTTGTTAAATAATACGTTACTTTTTCAGGCAATAGGTTCTGCTAGCAGCATTCTTACCATAAATACTGTATCAGGTACAATTAGGGAAATATTGCATATATTTTTGGACAACTGAATAATATAGTGAAACAGTTAATTTACAGTTAGATCTCAGCATCGAATATGTGGTCCACAACGAGTTGGGTGAAAAAGTGGTTAAGAGGTTTTCAAAATAAACCAGAAGAAAATTTTCATTTATCAATTTAACCTTATTTTGTTTCGTCCATTTAATGAATTGCTGGTATGTAATTGCATATGGTACCTTTGTTTTGATTTTGGTGGCAAAAGATTAGCACAAACAGTTTGTGCTCTTATTTCTAACTCGTCAACATCACTTTCACTAACTGATATTTTAAAATCAACCTTCATTTAACTTCCACCAACTTAGGTTAAGAATACGCGAGTATCAACAGGAACAAGCCGGATCAACAATTAAAATTGTCAACTGATCAGCTGATCAGCTGATTAGTTGACGTTCGAAGTATTACAATTGTACTTCTTTTCTCTCAATCCTTGAACCTCATTGGTCCGTTACCCGTGTTGATATGGGAAAAACTATGCTGATATGAAATTTAAACTATGCTGATATGAAAGTAAACGAAACTTTTCAATTTTAAGAACTGAACTGAAATGGCTACTTCAAAAAACGGTTGTAGGTAAATACTTTATTTTTAAATAGGATATGTAGTAGTTGTAGGATTTTAAAATGGTAAATTATTTGCAATAATAATGATAAATATTCTTTTTATTTTCACGAGGAAACTTAATACATAGTATAAGCTTACTGTAACTCAATGGGGTTGTATAGTATGTCTTGAGAATGATACTCATTACTTCGTTAATAAGAGAAAATTTTAACATAGCATTGTAAGTATAACTACTCCAAACTTAACATTTTTTATACTATAATGGATGGGTATGTCCAAGAACATAATCCTACAAGCTCCGAGTTGCAGGGTTTTAAATTTCCTCCAAAGTTAATCAGTATAAGGCCTACCGCACACGAGAGACTTTTTGTCGGCCGACTATTTAGTCGTAGTCGGGAGTCAAAGTCGGCCCCATAGTGGTAAATCTGAGCGCACACACGGGCCGACCGCAGCAAGACAGTCGGCAGACTGTCTGCAGACAGTCGGGGCAGTTTGGTGCTGACCGATTTTCCCGCCGACTGCTCCCCGACTCAACTGTCGTGTCTTATTGATAAAGGCACGGAGATAAGTTTGAACGCGCACACTGACGACTAAAAAGTCTGTCTGTCTGACAGTCGAGTGCGTTGTTATCATGTGTATTATTATTGTTATTATGATAAGTATTATTATTTGTGTGTTATTGTTATTATTATGGCTTCGACAACCACCAGTGCATGTGTTTTGAGGGACGAGAAAGTTGATAAACTTATCGATGAAGTTGAGGCACGGTCTCCTCTTTATAAAAAGATTTTGAAAGAGTATTTGGTCATAGTAAAAAATACCCCCGCTGCAGCAAACCTGCAGACTAAGTGAATTCCCATTTGTCTGATTTAATTTTTTATTTAATATATTTCAATAAAATTAGGATAAACGAGTACCTAGGTTTGCTGCTACAGGGAGGGTATTCAGGGCGTGTTTTAGTAAAACATTAATACCTGAGTATAAAATAAATATATTTGCAAAGTTTTATCAAAATACATCCACAAACAAGCAAACTACAACAGTTTACTTGTTCTACATATAAATGACATGACAATTTTAACTTTAAATATTTTAGAATTTCCCTGTAACCATTATGATAACAATTAGCATGCTAAATTATTTGTTTTCAAGCTCTGCAAAATGTTTTGTAAAGAAATTGCGGAATATTTTGTTTTTATCGTAAAAAAATGGGAAACCCCCATTTTTACACGATAAAAACCCCATAAACCCCCGTTCCCATTAGTCTTGCTGGTTTGCGAACTCATTCGAATAAAATACATGTAGATTTACATGTTTGTACCAAATTTCATCAAAATCGGATAATTTTGTTCGAGTTATCTTGCTAACAGACAAATATATATATGTGTGTATGTGAATTTGAACGGATAGTGTTTTTGGCCTCCGGGGACATCAAAACTAAAAGGTAAATCGGTCCGGGACCAGGTCTCACCATGAGACCTACGGTTACAGCTTCTTCCCTAAAAGTTATGGGATGAGGTATTTGAAGCCGGGGTATTAACAATTGGTCAAAAAATCAACACTCATTAATGAGTACATGAAAAATGTGTCCGGATATTTCCTAAAATCCAAGTATAGAGGTAAATCTGGCCTTTCAAGGTTCTCGGACTATAAATTGGATGCACCCAGTATTTTCTCTTAAGTTTTCTTGCACGAAATCTTGTCAGTGACGCACATATATATGACAGCGGTTTCTGTCATATACATCCTTTTGACACTCGAAAGACGACTAAACAGTCGTGTCGTGTGCGCACCCATAGTCAACGACCAAACAGTCTTGACGACTTTTCGATTGTCCCCCCGACTCCAGCCAGACAGATGGCCAACAGTCGGCCGACAAAAAGTCTCTCGTGTGCGGTAGGCCTTACATAAAATCTTTGACGTATAAATAGAACTATTTTGAAATAACACTAGGGAATGTTTAACTATAGTTTATGTCATTACTTCATTTCCCTTATTCTACTATCTGTAATTTGACGATTGTATTTATTGTTTGCAGCCTCGGGACCTCTCGCCCTGTCTGTTGTTCCCAGAGGCTCTTGTCCTCTTTGCTGTTCCGCAGACTTACGCCGAGACGTGTCCTTCCTACTCTTTACAAGGTAATCGATACCTAAAAGTGTGTCTGGGTAGCTGAGTGGAGGTCGCCGGACTCTGGAGAAAATTCAGTAGCATTTTGGTGGTTCGAAACTCAGCCCCACTTTTCTTGGTCATTAAGCTTTAATCCTAGCTACACACACACACACAATTATTGTTCTAAGCCAGTAACTAATATTTACTATACAAGGCGTTTTACATCCACCCTTAATTGATATTTGGATTAAAATATTGGCCCAGTTTAGTCCACATCTTAATTGGTAACTATTTCTAAACTAAATCCCTAATACAAACGTTGAGTTAGTCATAGGGAATCAACAAACGTTTTTACCTTTGTTTGTCTGTTAAAAGATGTTTTCGGAAATATTTTTTGACACCTATAGTGGTGCTTATTACGATTTTAGGTGTTAATTCTATTCTTATAGTTATGTAAAAATGAACGAATATCAGTATTTAATTACCTGATTCTAATGAAGACATATCAAAATAAACCATTGCTTGTGGCTAAAAGGGTGAATGAAAATCATTTAGAGAAGCTGCATTACATTTAATTCAAAACAAAAAATCAAGAGGAATAAGAATGCCATTGTCTCACGCAATACGTATACAAAATATTTACTTAATGCGTTTTAGCGAAGAACGTTTTTGGGTAACCAGTTATCTTTTAATCTGAATAGTGAAAGTACAAAGTGTCATTTGTGCAAGTCACTATTTTAGATTCTGCCACTTCAGTCCCTTCGTTTTGAGTATAGATAACAAAGTAAGATAAAACGAGAAAGTACCAAATTCAGATTCTACGTTCTCTTTACATCCATTCATTTGTCCCCACAATACTGTATTCGACCTTGCTTTGAGAGAAATCTCACTTTCTTTTACAAGCTTCAACAAATCCCCTTTGGGATTTAAAATGCGTTAATTTTTTGTCTTGAAAACCAAATTAATCATTCAGAGGTGATAATTTTAATTGTGAGTTTCAAGATGTTAAAACACTCGTTTGGGAGACTCGTAACACGCCCATACGAAATGCCGTAATATATAACATATAATTTCAAAGTTGCTAAAATATAAAGCTCCAATATTAATATTGTGCAAACAATCATTTACTGAAAAGCTAGCAAATGAAACCCAGAGGAACAAACTTACGATTTCCTGTTTACTGGAAAACCCCCTTTTTCTCATCTTTCAGGTTTAACTAACTACAACAAAGAGTATTAGTCCATGGAAATATGTATTACCGTTTTTTAAGCTAACCCAGGTGTTTAGGGTTTTTAAAACAAAATACTGCATGACTACCCGCTTCATAGATAGTATTAAAACTTTGTACGATTGCTCGTGACATCTTCAGGTCCAACCCCCATCACGGCCAGCGTCTGTACATTGACGGCTACCGTGAGTTGTCCAGATCGTTCCTTAGACGGAACTCCTCCACTGTCTTCTACATCCACGGGTTCACCGAGACATCGCGAAGTCGCAGCTCTCAGACCATCAAAACTGGTAAGTGGCGAAGTTCTGAGAAAAATTGTGCTTTTCATTGGGATGTTAATTAATTTATCTCTACTGCTATTTTATGTTTCATTAGAATTTTGGATTCTACTTGTGTTTCTTTCGTCAGACGATTCGTCGTCGGACGTTTTTACGATTTTTGTACGGCACGGTGTGGTCCAAATCCTGGTGTTGAGCCATTTAACATCAAACTTTTGTTGAGAAAATCAAAAATTCATTGTCCAATGACGAATGACATCTTAGTTGAGAAACGATCTGCTAACCATCCATGGTCTCAGATTTAAAAGACGACTGTAATCATTTGACTACTCATACCATAAATATGTAATGGTTTTAGATCATCGGGTATTCTTAAAGCTTATTCCTTAAAGTATAGATTTCTGGTAAATTTGGGGGGAAATACGTAATGTAGTATTCCCAATGTTTTTATACATCGATAGGCTATGTTGTTTCTAAAACATTTTGTTTCTGTCACACTTCGAGATTCGAATAGTAAAATGATTGCGTTACAATAGTTGGATAACAATTTTGACTTTAAACTTCTTTAAATTAAGAAATAAAATCGTGCTAAAGACAAGAAATCGGAGTTTAATGCTGCATGAAGTAGTACCAAAAAACAGCATGTCAACCTAAAGTAGGTAACAATTAGTAAATATTACAAGAAATTAAAAAAATGTATTGAGCGTTACAAGCCATCTATATTACCGTCTTGTATGTGATTATGGTAAAAGCGTAAATAGGATGGTTTTACTTTTGAGGGTTTATAGCTATAGCTATACTTTATTCAACCAAAAATTAAAAATTACAGCACTCATGTGTTTCTATTAAAATTAAATTTTGAAATGTGATTAACAAAACATATGTAGTATAACGTTTACTATACAATTGACAGTACCTCAATGTAGTCATAACACAAAACCAAATATTTAAATGAAAATGCCCTGATTTAGAAAGATAATTCAATAAAATTGTTTATTCATTGCAATATGTAACTGATGACAGAGTTTTGAAAGTAGCAATCTTTTATTACAATCTGTACAACTTGTCATTACATAACGACAATGTACATTACAAATGTGACATTGGATCTGCGGGATCTCACGCAATCACAAACACAATAATGAAATGATTAATTTACAAGCAATGAAATGGCGATTTGCAATCATTTGTATTTTCAAACGTACTTTGTGTATTATTTATTTGATCAGTTATTATGTTAATTTGAGTTAAAATGTTCATTTCCTAAACTTTCCGGATTCACTTTGACAATAATTATCTATTAATTCAATTCTGAAAGCATAAGTTTGTCAACCAGAGCAAATGTTGTAAAGTCTGGCTGTTGACTAACTCTCTTTTGACTGAAACAAGCAAAGTTAACAATAATGTGTTAAGTTTACACAACAATAATGATTGAAGGAAAAAGTGTTCAGTGTGCTCGTGCTCACCTGACAAAAGTTACCGGTCCGATCCTGAGAAAAATCAATAGTTTGATAGTTAAAAACTGGGCCCATATTATGTCCTTGATCTTTGGGCTTTTCTGAGCTGCAACCACGAATACTGTATTCGTGGGTACAACTTAGGCACTTAATCACTGGTCCCACTTAAGGTCACTTAATCAATGGTCTAGGCTGAAGAAACAGGTGACATTAGTTAATAACGAAGCTACGGATCTTTCACTACATCCTACACTCATCAAATTAGCTTTAAATTAGCAGCTCTCCGAAGCATGTAACTCTTGAACAAAGCAATTTAGAACTGATGACAGTAGGCCTACTGTAAAAACCTTCAGTTGAATTATGCATATATTTGGTGTTGTTGTCTCAAATAATGATAACACCCAGTTTTCTGGTTGTTTATCCATGCTCTGCTCCTTTCCTCAGCGTTTCTACAGAGGGGTGACTACAACGTGATCCTGGTGGATTGGTCACCCCTATCCGCTGCTCCGTGGTACCGCCCGGCCGCCCAGAACGCCCGCCCCGTAGGTCTGCACCTTGCGAGGTTCGTGCACTTCCTCCACCGCAGCGCCGTCCCCGTCCACCACATGCACGTCGTGGGCTTCAGTCTGGGGGCCGAGGTGGCGGGGTTTGCAGGCAAAGCGCTGCATGACCTGCGACTACCGAGGATCACGGGTGAGAGGGTTGGAGGAGTTTTCAGTTGTTAAAATAAAGATTTGCTACTTGTTTGAAATTGATTGCGTTGAATACATCATAATTCCAAAGTTCAAATTGTATTTTTATGATAAACATCTGTGTTATATTTCGACCGTCATCATCTATGTCATTCTCTATGTTCCATTCCTCACACCAACGATTGCAATCACTGATCTTGTTTCGAAATAAATCTTCCCGTAATCATTTGCATCAATTTTGATGATTTTTCCACTGTCAAGTAGTCACTATACAAATTGGTACTTAAAAGTATTGAATCCACTTTATTCCTACTGTATTAAGATACTTAATTCATTTACATTTATTCACATCCATTAAAACTCGTACTTAACTTAACACAAACATATATGGTTTAGGAATTCGATGAAGATGGTAATAATGGAAAGAATGTCAACACAAGTGCATGCTGTAACCGCAACTAATTGCAGATTCCCTCTTTTCCCTAGTTTATAAATCTGTTCTGATGCAATACTTCCTTGTCAACATCCTGAATTTTTTCCTCACTGGTAGGCATGGTAAAGTTTACAAAAGGATGTGTGATTTTAAGTTGCAAAAAATACAATCCTAAATTTTAATTTCCCACTGACGTCAGGTCTGGACCCGGCCTACCCACTCTATCGCATGGCAGGGTGGAGAGGTCACCTGACCGCTACGGACGCCAGGTTTGTGGACGTCATCCACACGGACGGAGGAGTATTCGGGTTCCGGAGACCCCTCGGACACGTGGACTTCTACCCCAACGGCGGCATCCCCTTCCAGCCGGGGTGTACCTTCATAGAACTACTGGGCAAGATGAACCTCCGGGGCTATGGTGAGACTCCATACTAGAGATTTATATCTACTGCTGTGATGCAATCTTCAAAATCAATCCTACAGCAATTTCTCACTACAACTATTATTGATGATTACAATAAATTCTTCATATTCTACTATGGTAATGTTAAACGTTACTCGTGATGAAGTGTGAAGGGATTACAGTATAGATTTACTTATTTTCAACATACCACTTTTACACTTAGCATTTCAATCATTAAATACATACGCCTTTTTTTAGATCGTCTGTTATTGAAAATACGAATATGACTCTTTTTACCAGGCATCATAGAATATACATAGTGAAGATGTGTTGAAGATGCGTGTTCCACTCGTATCTTGTAGTCGAATAGACACAGTAAAATTACCGATTTATTATTATATTTTTCCATAATTGCGCTTAATATCCTGGGTACAGCTAGCACTCTCCTAACATTCTATCATGGTTTCCTAGTACCCATTTCACCTTTTTCATTTTGCCTGACTAAAAATTGATTCCTAAAACTTTTAAACGTGTCTTGGCCTTTTCCTACTTCGTTCTCAACGTCGCTCACTGTTCCTCCTAAATCACTCCTAACTTACTTCCTACTTGATTAACATACTCGTTTTGTCAATAATGCTCCGTGTTTCAGTTGCCTGTAGTCACAACCGAGCATGGGCTTACTTCGCCGAGTCTATTTTGGATCCTTTCGCCTTCCCAGCTGTCCGTTGTCCGTCCTTCGGGTCGTACAAGATGGGCATGTGCCACCACGGACCTCCACTACAGTATATGGGGGTGGCTGCTGATCCAAGGTACTCGCCCTCAGTGCTAGTGTTAAAAAATGCCAACTAGTATTTTCAGAGGGAGGGAATTTTTCCTTGAATCAGCCACTTACTAATCTCACTGGAAACCATTTAATAGGACTGTCATTATGTCTAATTTGGGCGACGCTATATTTTACTTACTTGGCCAATTAAGAACGATAAATTTGAATACAGGGCGAGGCAATGAAAGCGCCCCAATTTATAAATAGTACAAACTCAATAATATTCGCCCTATATAATATAAATAAATAGCACACCAAAACACAGCATAACTTTTGCCATTTTAACTTAACGAAGTCGTTTATTCCATTTCTTGAAAACAAAAACCTGCAAGTGACGTACTTGTCCTACTTAACATTCTTTTTTAGTCCCTTGAAAACTCCTTTAAATACTCCTCCAGCATTTCGTCGGGAATCACTTTAGTTTTGGACAGTACTAGCTTCGGTTCGAGCGAATCTGTGGGGCGACTTTGAAAAACCTCGAACTTCAGAGTAAAGTAGCTTATCAGAACCCCCCCCCCCCCCCCAAAAAAAAGAGCGTAAAGCTTTCAACACAAAAAGCTTCCTGGCAAATCTCTTTGGACTTCGAGTTACTGCGACTCGCACTCTTTCAACATTTGCTGGTGTACAAAGAGTTTTGCGGCACCCACCGATTATTTTTAAAGTTTAAGCTGTTATCCTAAATAATTTTACCCAGTTTACTATTGTTTTCCAATCTGGAACAGCGATTGGAATTGGATTCATGTTGATTGGATTGGAATTGGAATTTGAATTCATGTTGTCCAAGGATGGAATGTGGTCCAAACAATCTCTGGGCTTTCGCACAAGAATCACTACTGTACTTTAAAAATAGATTTCCACACCAAAATCTCAGTGTTAATAGCCTCGGGCATAATGTTTACTAAAATGGCATTGTTTAACTGACGTTATAAGGACAGATTTTCATTCATTGTTGCTTTACTTATAGTGAGACAACGAAAGGAAATTGGGGGGCTCTTCTTGCCTCACCCTCTAAAAATTATACTTCAGATCGGACCTTTATACGTATTGAATCGTATTGTACTCATTTAAATGTAAACAGCTTTAACAATAATGGGCACCTTAACTACAATCAAATAAATCATCAGACCTTAAAATTGTTATGGGGTTGCTCCAGATTTTAAAGATAAAAATCAACCCAACGTGAAAGGGTAATTCACCTAGTATCTAAAACGGTGAAATAAAAGTTTGCACAGATTGCTCAGATAAATGTTCAACACTTTAACTAGGTACTTGACTATAAGTACTACAGTATGTATTTAACCGTCTATTTTGACTCAATAAACCCTTAGTTGGATTTAAATCCATGTACTTTCGTTTTTCGTGTACGTAAGAGAATATATTATGAATACATTACTTATCTGGGTTCACTTAAACAATGACATATTTTACGTGAAATTGTACTACTTAATTAATTTTGTCTATGGTACAAATTGTATAAATTGTATACAAACAATTTAAAAAATAAGGTTTGCTCATTCGAATTTTTACAAGACATGCCCTTCAAGATATATCCTTCCAACAATACTTGGTCTTAAATCATTTTTTATATTTGTTGTGTAAGCGATTTGAGTTAAAATGCAAGTAATTTTTCGGACGTTCAACCCATTGCTCTCTCTCACCTCACACCTCTCCCCACACTTCCCCCACAAATAGTTCTGGTGACTGATGATACAACGTAATCATCTCCAATGGAGTTTGATTGATTATTTCAAGCATTCCTTGCTACAAGTAATTTACCATATTTTGTCATGTAGATTAATTGACGAGACTTAGATCAATACTGTTTAATTAGGGCTAAAAAGTATGTAGCAATAGTTATATTCGTAAATCCAAGAAACACACAATTTTATGAAATAAAATGTTACTATATTTTTTAAATTTCTGTTTCAGACAAGAGGGGAAGTTTTACCTGAGCACGAGGGATGAACCACCCTACAGTTTGAGAAAAGTTAGGTGGAAGGGATGAATGTTAAATATCTCGTAAAACTACTGTCTTTCAATTGTATTTTAAATAAGTGATTTTTTTAACTACTTTTTAACTATACTCCATTCTTTACTATCGTATTCATTTCAATCCTACATCCTTTGGATCAGTTTATAGTTGTGGAAAACCTAGTTTTATCTACCAACCGACATAAATTATTTGAAGAAATAACAAAGACATTGCTGATCATGATTAATATTTCCGAGGATACAAATTTATTTCCTTTTTGTGTTCTTGTTCTTATTTCATAAATTGATAAACTATCCAATTTATGAAGATATCGCCAAAAAATAACTACGAAATCGACCATTTACTTTTGCTGGAGTGCATTGGAAATTAACTAATCCTAATAAGTCCTTAACGTTAACTCCTTTCAAGGACTTCATCGGTAGATTATCAGTATAGTATTGTGTTTATTGCAGTTTTTACAGTTAAACGTCGTAAATTAAGGATTTGATTATGCAAAAAATTAATTATCTATGACCATAGGGTAACTAAATTCAGTAACTGATTCCACCAAATGTTTTAATCGTAATACATTACTATTGTTGTATTTTATTTTCAGTTTTATTTGTGATACAATTGATATTATTTACGGCTTCAGAATTATCTAATTGAATATATGGAGTGTACATTAAGATATTAATAAAATAACTTTTTTACAAATTATTTTAAATGTAGACGATAATTTGTATCAAATTAAGTAAGTTAAATGTTCCTCATATTTAAATGGTAAAATTATGTAAATTAATGTGTATCAAACACTTAAAAAGACTTATTTGTAAAAAAATACAAACGCATGTTTAAAAACAGTGTTATCAATAGTATAAAATACTATGCAATCACGTTCTCATGCTCAGATGGTTTGTATTAGGATCTCGCTACACTGAGGAAATCACACTTGTGTTGAACTATAAAGGAATTTGCCGCGCGAAAGTGCTAAAGAGCGGCGTCGGGCCATTTGATGTGGCTCAGCAGCTGGTTTAGTGGAGGGGGTAGCTTGTGACGTCACATAAGTAGGGGTGGCGGTGGGGGAGGGGTACATCTCCGCAACATGGTGCAGCCTCCCCTCTGGACGCGTGCCATGTACACCATAACCTCCCATAAACGTATATTGATTGTACTAGTCGCGTAAAACAGCATACCTACTAATATTATAGCCTAAGTGAGAGAGTTTGGATGTATGGGTGTTTGTGACAAGTAAACGCAAAAAATACTAAACCTACAGGGTTAAAAATTGGTATGATGATAGCTCATATTCCCGATTGACATAAAAACATATTCTTCTCAAAAATCCTTTCGGGCTCCGCCCCAGTGGCTCTGAAATTTCCCATGTCAACCTTATGACTATTCATACCTGGGGACCAAGCTTTGCTCGGGGAAAACCATTAGTTTACTTAAATATTATAGGATTGGAAAATTACTCCACGAGACCGAAGTCTTGAGTGTTGAGAAGAGTCATTTGCCACTCAGAACAGAGTCACTAACACAAGCTGACAACACAGGTCTAGGCTCTTATTAGACGAGGCAGCCAAGTTGCGCAACCAGCCGGGCAGCCAGTCGCCTGTCTGGCTGCCTAGCGTAGCAACCAGTAGAGCAGCCAGTAGAGCAGCCACAGGGCAGCCACAAAATTACCAACTAGGCCAGTCTCTTGTTGACAGTGGAACAGTGTTGGTGGAACAGTTCTGTTGGGGAGAGACGCTGTCAGAATGCGAGATGAATATTTGCTTCTTCTGCTACTCATAAAAAAGAGAAGATGAAGGAGGAGGAGAATGCATATACATCCTATTCTTTCATCAAGAACAGAAAAAGGATTATATTACACCAATTACACAATTATATTACAAGAATACTGAGGAAAACAACGCACAATGATGTGACCGGCAGAGATGAACGCACTTCCACGAGTGATGATCTACTATACTGATTGTGGCAGCGGGCGACTGGCTGCCCAGTGTAATAAGATCCGTAAGCTACACAGGAGCGCGACCAGACCGAGCAGCCAGTGGTTGCCTGTGCGGTCGCCGGGCTCGGCAACCAGCAACTGCGCAACTGGCTGCCCTCGTGTAATAAGCTCCATAAGAACCAATGCCCAGTGACTTGCTGGACGACTGGCTGCCGGGCTGGTTGCGCAACTTGGCTGCCTCGTCTAATAAGGGCCTAAATACACAATGTTTTGGCTACCTCCTTCCATAGCTCACATTTATCCATTTTCAGGTGTTCATCAGAATCTGACATAGACATGTTGTAAGTTAATGCTTACGCCTGTGGCACGTTCTACACCTTATGTAAGGGTAGGTTATGTAGGGGTGTAAAATCCAAACCCTCTTGTTACCATTTAACATTGACCTTTTGTTTGATAGAATTGATAGTCAGGATAGCTCAATAAAAATGGCATCTGGGTCCAGTAACTATCTCGCTTGGCATGAAACCTTACCTTTATATTTGAAGGCGAACATTCTAACCACTTGGCTACACAAACAATTTAAAAATAATAAAACCAACATGAAAAAATAAAATTGTGGAATTCTCATATAGGCCTACAGACAAAATAAGTTACTAACATCTAACTGTATTGTATTAAAACATTGCTTTTGTGAGTTGACGCACTGTTGTTAACTCCATATTACGTTGTACCTCTAAAACACTATAAGATACTAACGCTATGTACAGAACATTTAATAACATTAGAATGTTATAATAGGGGCTGAAGCATTCTGGAAAATTTATTTGAAACGTTACATAAAAAAGATGTAGGCCTAACTTGTTATGAACAGATCTAGTGATATTTGTAATATGGGTTGTAAGTTTAAGCATAGTTCGTAAATTTGTTCCATATGGTATTATTATCTGATAAGGTTTGCATAAAGGAGTGTTTCTAGAAAATTGGGTTATTACAAAATGTAGGTGCGAGTAATTGAACAATAACTTGGTGATGCTCAAAGTACAGAATATCCTAAAACAGTGAAATTGTTTATTGTACAGTGAAAATACTAGACATCTGTTCAGTCATAAAATTGGAATTATTATTAGTTTTAATGATTTCATATTTTATACACATAATTATAAAAATCCTTTTCACCCAAGCTTAGGGCGTAATATTACCAATTGATCGGGCAAAACTTTTCTGACGTATATTTCATACAGTGGCAAGCATACTCTATCAAAAATACGTCATTGAATTTTAAATCTGTCTAACTTTTCATTATTGTATATTATTACTCACGTTATTATGAAAATATTATGAAAATTAATATTCTCTAACGCCAACAATGCCAAGATATGCCAACACTTTATTCAGTAATCAAAACAGCGTGTTTGAATATATTTGATAGCAATTTTAAACGACCACGCACGACATTCCAGATTCAGTTAAACATTTTGCCAGTGGGTTGTCCAGCTTACAGTGCCTTGTAAACAAGTTGCGACCTAATTTTTCAGTCACGCAAATACTGCCGCCATGTCATGTAAGATTATACAGTGCACTAGAATCTTTCTTTTAACACCAGCAGTGACAGGTAGCATACATTTTTTTTTCATAGACAGAATTCAATCATACGTTCAAGCTCTCTGTACGATTTCAATAACGTAAATTGTGTATATCTACTTTATAACGTGTAATTCTTGTGTGGAAGGATACACAAATAACTAACCTGTATTAATATGATAGGTGTAAAATACATTCCTATTCTCCGTTCGGTTGTTTTAGCTTTGAAGCAAATGAGATTTTTAAATGCAATACAAATTTAAACCGTATTTCAAACCTTAACATACGACATACCATATTAAACCATTCTACCAGAAGCAAGGACACTTTGCGGTAGTGTATGTCATTAAATAGTAACGTGTACACATGGTTTTCACATTGTTTATAGAAATAAATAATCTATTAGCTTCCCTGTACGTAGCAATGATGTATAAGCGGAAAATTACAGGCCTTGAAAACTTCTAGTTTTATCAATTATCACTTTCGAGTGCTGCATAATTTATGTAATGAATGTAATTGTTATTTTAATACCATCGACTAATTTCCTATAACAATATAGTCAAAGGTAAAATGCCTAAGGGAATATGTTTTATCTATCCATGAACTTATGTCATAGGTGTTAGTTGTGCATAATATTTCTACTGAATGTGTTATTGAGAGAGAGTAAGAAAAGTAGGATGAATTTCAGAAATCGCAAATGTACACATAATTTCCTACATAAGCTGTATACAAATGTATACATAAGCCTCACATGGTAACATTGAAAACCCGGAGACTACAATACATTGTTTGAAATACGTAATTGAAATTAAATGAAATGAAATGAAATGAAAAATGTCTTTATTTAAGAGGCGAAGTTAGGACTAGCAAGTCCTCTCTACCACTTAACCTCTAATTGAAATAGAAGCAACCACTAGGGATTTAGTAAAAGTTGTATTTTTGCATTGTCCACCAAAGATTAACGAAAAACACAATTCTTGGTATACCAACTGTTGTTACACGTTCAATTGTGTTGATATGTATAAACATGCATATTAAGCACTGGCACTGACGTGTGTAACATATAGCAAGTTACTACATAGAGTTAATACAAATTCAGCTCGCCACATGTGTGTTGGTGTGTGGAGTGTGGAGTGTAGGGCAGCGAGCAGTTGAGGTTTTGTAACAAATTACCCTCTTTACCACATTCCACCACATTTTACCCTCTCGTGTATCTTCTGAACGTTGATGATCCTCCACACATGTTCACTACTGTAGTTGATGGAGTTGTGGGTGTCAATTCTCATTACTTGGTTTTAAGTTTTTAGTCGACTAAAACAACGACCTCATTTCACATCGCTTGGTAGAGTTTATTTTAAAATATTTCCTATTCATTCTGAATCATTTAAGTAAATGTTCTACAACATTTCCCAATTTTTGCATACGCTAATAGATCAAGTTATTTGGAAATCTTTTATTTTAACTCAAGCACCAAAATTGCATAAGGTAACACGAC